AGAAAATACACCAAAACTTAATAAGAGACTTATGATACATATGCTAAAAGCATTGCTAATGGGTTATGCCAATAGGTTAGAATGACTTATGCATAGACAATATTTTCAGAAATGCTTTCTGTGAGCAGCATCATGCAAAATACTGTGCTACAGTATTTATATGCACGTTATTTATTTGAAGAAATAATTTCATAACAGATTTTAAAATATTTTCTTACTATGGTAAATAGTTAAAATATATTAATAATGTTGCTTTATTGAATGTTTACTGTGCTTTCAATGCCAGCGTTAAGGCTCTGCACACCAAAGAATGAACGTGATTGGTTTCATTTGTAAACCTAGACGGCATTATCGTAAAACTGCACTCATTAGAATTAATCGAGAACACCAAAACAAATGCATGTTAAGTCTGAATTCTAAAACTTTTAAGTAATTATATTGCTTTTAACTCTATATAATAATTACTTATTTGTTTGTCTGTAGATAATATAATAGAATCAGTATCTCAAAACCAAATAATACAATTGAGTCATTTGACTATTATCAAATGTAAGCCACTGGAGAAGCAATTCAATCAACAGAGAACTTTTATAATTAGCATACTAATTATTTGCAAATAAAAGGTAATTCCAAAGTACTCTAAGGAACTTGAAGACATTGTAGTTTGTGTTCTCATTCTATATATCTCTATGAAATATTTTGCATTATTAATTTCCAATAATCTAGGAAAAAAGGGTTTTCTAATCAAAGGAAAACTTCAGCCCAACTTCTGCATTATTTATCACATGTTTTAAATTGGTAGAACCTGAATTAATGAGGCCCAGGCTCCTCCTAAATGGCATGAATTAAATAAAAGTTGGACTTGGCTATGTACTCTCATGAAGATTGAACTATATATGCATATTGGCTGCCGGGCAAATGAATTTTCAAAGTATGCAATTATCAATGCTGTGTGGGCCTCACTTGCTATTGATAAACATCCTAATTACCTTTGACACATCGCTAACAAAAAAAGGCTTCTGCAAATATTTAAACTATTTTTCTGGATTGACCATGTTTACATATCAAATTTTAAAGTATACAAACAGTAGCCTATAAGAAATAGAAAATTAAAAAAAAAAATACCAGCAAAAAGAAAATAAAAAGTAGAGACATGGTCTGTTAAGTAATCTTTTAAACCCATTGCTAAACTGTCATTAGGCAGTTTGAGTTTTAATTTTATAGAGTTTTTAATCATTCTGATTTGCTCTTAAGGCCATGAGATGATAGGGGCAAAATTATACAATATCTACTTTGTTTTGCATTCTCTCCTCTCCCACAACCTAATCTGGTTCTTTCCTGATTGAAAAACCATGCCTGCTATTTTAAAATTCAGGGTCTATATATGCCCTTAAGTCTTTGTCCTTTTGGTTTACTTCCTGACATCTTCAAAATGAACTAGGCCATCTGATTACTACTTGCCACATGGTTCTACAGTATTTTGACTGTTCAGAAGTCAGCAGCTCTCTCACATTTCTCAAAGTTGTCTTTCTTTGCTTAAAATTACAGCCATTCGGCACCTTAAGCATCCTGAGTTTTTCCGTCTAAGGTCATGTGTAGGGTATGGTTTTTTGTTTTGCATTTCATGTTTTTAGATTAAGTAAAATCTAAACTATATATATATGTCATTCATTTGAGCTCTAACAAATTCTTATCTTATATAACATTAGAACAATGTCAGCCTGTTAACTAAAAGAAGACATGTTTGTCCAGTACCATTTTACAAGGACAAAATTACAGCACTGAAGCTACTTCTCTGTAAAGCAAAATGGAAAGGGAAAAACACACAAATTTTATAAATGAGACCATCCTCCCATGAACTTTCCTTTAGCCTATGGTCTTCTTCTTCACGTAGGCAGTGGGCATAAGGTTTCTGCTTTCTATATTTTCACTATCACTGTGAAATCTTCAACTGAAGTCCACACAAAGGAAAAGAATTAGCAAACGGACTAATTATCATTTTTAAAGTACTTCCAGGAAGGGGGGAGGGGGGAAAATAACAAAATAAAATGTTAAAATAAATAAATAGATAGATAAATATTTAAAAATAAAAATAATAAATTAATACATGCAAGATATATAAAAGGAATGCCTGACATATAACATGCACTCAATAAATGTGTTTTTGCTGTAAAAAATAATAAAATAAAATAAAGTACTTCCATTCCTTGATTTTAAAAGAATTTGACTTTCTTGAAAATGCTTCCTAAAAAATAAAAAAACTATTTAAACCTAGGAGGGGACTATGCTATATTTTGCAGACTTTTGCATTGTGCGTATAAATGGATTCTATACATGCAACATAAAAAATAGTAAAAATAACAATAGTGATAATAACAACAGCTAATACTTACTAATACCTCACTAAGTGCCAGGCGCTGTTCTAAGTGCTTTGCATATAATGACTTATTTAATTCTTACAAAACCCTATAAAGTAGTTACTGTAATTATCCCCATTTACAGAAGAAGAAACTAAGGTAACAGTGAGATTAAGCAATTTTCCCAAGATCACACAAACTAATAGGCAGAGCTGGATTTAAACCCAGGCAGTCTGGCTCCAGCATTGATAATGTTAACCACTATGCAGTCCTGCCTATTAAGAAGTATTAAATAAGAATTGCTAAGTTATATGTTCAACAGTTTGGAGTTTTTTTTTTTACTACAGAATTTCATGGCTAAATCTATCCCTCTAGAAAGCTAATGCCAAATATGAGTGGATCATAGTAATTTTAGTAATTTTGCAAACAGTTTTTAGCATGGACACACCCTGCCTAATTGATACAAAAAGAGCTGGGGTATAGATAGCAAAACTAGATGTTCTAGCATACTTAAAAAATACTTCTTAAATGTGTACCACTTTAAAAGCTCATTGCCAACTAAGCAAAAAAAGAAAGAAGGAAAGAAATACTTGACATTTTGGTATCTGTGATATTAAAAAGAACTAATATTTAATATTCGAGTGGCAACAGCTTGTAGAGTTTGCACACAACACCCACAGGGATTGATTTTTCTTTAAAATGGCCTTTAGGAGTCTGCCTTTCAAACAGCTGACACCTCCTTTCTGGGCATCCCTCTTTCCTGCCAGTAGCACGGAGCACGCTCTGAGTGCAGCAGCAGACATCTAATTCTTCACCTTCAGGATTTGTCTGTGCAAATAATGGAGAATGTGGGAAATTAAGAAAAATGTAATTTCCACTGAATCGACCTCAGTGTAATCTCTACTACTGAAAATGAATAGATGTCTTCAGAGGGCTTCTCTCCATATGCTCTCTCAGTCCCCCTCACGTACCATCCGTAAGAGAGAAGATCATCATTACCTAATTGATCATCAGTCATTCCACACTATACCGAGGCCACAAATGACAAGTATACTGTTGCCTCGCATTTTCCCAGCATGACTAATTGTCACAGTACTAATTTACTCACCTGTGGAATCTTCATCTACCCCAGCCTGATGTCAAGAAGATGCATAATAATGGAATAAAGATTTTAAAATGCTGAATACTATGAAATATTTCACTTACGCTCCAACAGAAAGCTTTCACCAAGCCATGTGTTAGGTGGCAATTACTCATTGCTGAGGGGGAAAAAAAGTGACCACTTTTTCCCCCCATAAACATTTATCTGGTAGAATAATAGGAGAAAAGTGAACAAATCTTTTCTGACAGAGGGAAAAAAATCACTGATCAGATTACCCAAAACATGTTTCTTTTCTGCATTTATTCAGAGTGAATATACCAGTTTTATTATATTATAGCCTACATTACAAAGCACTTCCTTTTTTGTTAGTCTTATTTTAAAAAAATATTTTTTCTGTATCAGATAGTATGATGAAGGAATAAATTGTTAGATTTTTTTCAAGAAATGTGAAAAAGTTTAGAATGAAGATATAGGCATGTATTACTTTAATTACATAAAATAGTAAACCAATTTGTGACATCTTTGCCAAGCAGTCTGACCAGAGGAGTTTTTAAATGCTAGGTTGTATTCTTGAAAAATAATATTTGTCATGGAAAATTATAACCTATGAGTATAATAGCTGACTTTCTGAAATCCTGCACTGTGATATTAAGATATGTCTGATGCACCTGGGAAACTTACGAATTTTAATAAATACGGCTGGTTGCTTATGATACAAGTAAAATTTTGACATAAAAGCCGAAGATTTTCTAAAGATATTTGAACAGAATTGTTCATTTAATTCTCATATGCTATTAAATTCAAATTCTATCCTAGTTTATTAACCCATCCTGTGGTGTTATTAGGTCATATGAGGAAAAAAAGTTTCCTGGTCAAGTTTGGGAAATACTAGATTAAATATAGGCTTGTCACCATTGTTATGAAATTTCACTTCAGAAACTTCAGTATGTGAATATGCACTCTGAAGAGAGGGTGTATGGTCTTTTCAGCCTTATTTGACCCAGACTGTCCCATCAGCATACCTCTAAAGTCACAAGTCTGAGTCTGCAGAACGGGCTTGGCCTTGACTTACGCCTACACAGGTTCTCAATACATTCTCGTGAAATTTCACCAATATCCACTCAAATGAATTGAAATCGTCTGTGATATTCTTTGCCTTACACTCATTCATCAGGATAAATATGGAAATAGAATCAGAAACACGAACCCATTTCTTCTAACCAGATCTCAGCCCACGTACCCAGAGGTAAAAGAGTAGTGAAATAATCCACTCTGGCATGTTGACCTACAACAATGCTATTACTTAAAATAGGATTTTTAAGTGATAGAAAAGGAGAAAGGAAAACAGCAGCTTCCTACTCGGCACATGACTACCATTTAGTATTTCTGAAAGACCGTTTTCCTCATTTCAAAATTGATAGCCAACTTATTTGTGTTGTTTTGGTATTCAAATTTCTGTCCTCTTTTGCCAGGGCTTATTTACTCGAACACTGAATTTTAAGCATCTCTAAAAATGCTTGATATGTTATTATTCTTTCCAGATATCCTCTGAGAGCCAAGCAAAGAGCATTTAAGAAAGAAAGGAGGAATGAAGCTGGATACAGTGCAGTGAAAAAAATCACTGGGAGAAGAGAAGTACCCACTGCCCAGGGACTGGACTGAGTCATCAGAATGAGAACTTACCGGTACTTCTTGCTACTCTTTTGGGTTGGTCAGCCCTACTCAACTTTCTCAACTCCATTATCTCAGAGGACTAGTGTTTTCCCAGCGAAGAAAAGGGCCCTGGAGCTCTCTGGGAACAGCAAGAATGAGCTGAACCGTTCGAAAAGGAGCTGGATGTGGAATCAGTTCTTTCTCCTGGAGGAATATACTGGATCCGATTATCAGTATGTGGGCAAGGTAGGATTCCACTGGGCGTTTTGGCATTCTGGTTTTAAAAGCCAGAAGAAGTTACTTCTAATAAATAGACGGGGAGGATGTGAACGATTCCCCAATACAGTAAGAATTGTTGCTTATCTGGTAAGACTTTTTTTTCCACTTACGTAGTTTCGGGAAGAAGACTGTAGCAAGAAGCTGAGAAATGTTAGCACTGCAACAAAGAAAGAGAAATGCTCCCGTGGAAAATAAAACACCCACAACCATTTACACAGGATTATCATAAATCCTTTAATTTTTACTTTAGTTTGAAAAAATGTGATCCAGCATATTCTATAAAGTAAGAAGTATTAAAAATAGGAATAGAGCAGGCAAGCTGTAAGGAAAGCAAGGTTCCTTTTTCTCATTCTGAAAGCAAACATTTTCAGCTTTAGTCCTTTGGCCAGGTTCAGATTAAGTATTTCTTAACTCTGCTACCTACAGTGCCATCCATTCTCTGACCGAATGGAGCCCTTTGTCCTCAGAACCCACCACTGCCTTAGATTTGTTTGTTGTTAGTGCTGCCGATGCTGCTGATGCTGTTTTGTCTTGTCTCAGATAATTGGCAAGAGCTAGGCATTTCGAAAGCTTGTGATTTAACTGTGGCAAGATTCACAAAAGAGAAAAATGGTTATGGAGAGGTGCAATTTCCAAATATCATCTGACCATTTTATTGACTCCGGAAAGTAGAATGAGGAGGCATCACTTTTGATAGCCCTTACCGATTCCTGGAGCTGAGTCAGGGAATCAGCGTGGTTATCCTGTCACTGTGAGTTTCACTGGTATTTCATCATCAGCTACGGTCTTGTTGCAGAATATCTGCATACTGCAAAGATGTTTTTAAAAAGGGATACAGGTTTGCACTTTATAGGTTTTTTTCGTAATATGGTATTGATAAGAAAAATCATTGTCATACATCCTTTACATAATGAAACTGGGAATGAACATAATAGAGATGACAAAATGTCTTTGTTGATGATTCCAGCTATGATTTTTAAACATTGATATTAGGATATCATGCAAATCACATAAATTTTGCAGATTCCAGGGGCTGCATAGTCACACTTCAATTTGTTATCAAATATCCATGAATAGCTGTGGCCAAAATTCTCTTTAAGTATTTACCCCTATAAATGAAGGGAAGCCGTTGGGCTGAGGTAACCAGGCATTGTTCCAATCGAGTGAAATATTAATGGGGAATAAAGGAAGAGAGGAAGTATTCAGTGAATGGGGTGAACAGTAACACAAATCCTCAAGGGTCTAGTCTTGTATTTGCTGTAAAATTCACATGCTATGTGACCACTGAAGACAGTCCACTTACCTGTACTTCACTCCATTTCTTTTATGAAATTGAATAGCACTACATTTATAGGGTAATGGTTATAAGAAATAATAATAATAATCTCATAATCTTTAAAGTACTTTTTTTAATACAAGTAACACTCCCATAGTTTTTTAAAAGTGTTTTGTCTAAATAATTGATTCCCCTCTTTTTTGCTTTTTCTTCTCAAATTGCAATGCCATTATATACATATTTAAAAAAACAAACAAACATGTATTTTCAGAGAAAGGCCAAGATATTTCAGGACACCAGACGCAGCAATGGATAAAACTACATAGAAATTCAGTTTTATGAGCATAATTGTGAGAGGTAATTTTACCATGTGGAAAAGTCATGAGCTGTGGATGCAAGCAGATCCAAGGCTGCATCACTATTTTGCCAATTGCCATTTGTGTGGCTCAGGGCAGGTTATTAACCTTTCCAAGCTTTAGTTTTTTCATCTGGAAAATGCATGCAGCAATTCCGACCTCATAGAATTGCAGTATAATTTAAGTGAGATGAGAACTAGTGGCTGGCACATAGTAGGTGCATAAAGAAATTGTCATTATTGGTGAACTACCCATTGTATACACTCTATTAAATCTACCAGTAATTCATTGACATGGCATATTGATTTTTATATCATTGCAAAAGGAAAATGAGGTAATTAATGGATCTCTCAGTGGATGGAAAATGTAGAGAGTGGCAAAAATCCCTTCATAATCACTGCTCCAATTGGATTAGTTGGATTTTGGATATTTTATTGGCAGCAAGAAAAATCTCCCTACCTTACCTTCATCTTCCCCTCCCCCACTTCCATAATACATAAAAGTTATGGGGAAAAAAGTTAAGGGCGATTATTGAAATTGTCATAGTTGCCAGCACTGCTACATCAGATGTGTGGAAGAGCTATCGTTGCACTATTGATAGGGCATTTTCCCATCTTTGGGTTATGTTGTGTCAACAGACAAAAGGATTAGGTTATAATGTGGTTTTTACCACAATTAAAAATAAACAAAAAAATAATTAATTTTTAAAAAGTTTGGGTTCCTCATATGGCATCCAGTTGGTCCACTTTTAATAGACTTGGAATAAAACAGATACCTGATGAGATTATCCACATCTACAAGGTCAAGAAACTATTGAAAAAAAATTTTTTTTTTCAAGATCAGGCTATTGCAGAGGTTCCAAAATTTTCTTGGGTCACATGTCCTTAATGTTTCAGTATTTTTCTCAGTGCCCTTAGGCTAAAAGACATAGTTAGGTCCAAACAACTTAATTAGTGTTTGTGTTCTAAAATATAAATAACCATTTGACAAAAATCCACATCAATTAACACACAAAAAATAAATTTTTATTTCATTTTTAAATAACCACAATTATTTCCTAATGGAAGGTGTGTGCCTATTGGGCACTGTGTGACTTCATAGTTTGGACTCAGCGGCCTGGATTCCTTTTCCACATTGATTTTTGCACTGTATTCACTTTCCATCATAAGTGCTGGGGGAAACCCAGCCTCATAAATATATGACATCGAGAAAAGGAATATAGCACCACCTACTGTTGAAACTGTGAACTACCGTGACACAAGGTGTCTGACGACCTCAAATGTTGCATTATTTCTCTGGAAGGTTTCAAATATTTCCTGGTGCCCAAATGAATTCCCTGCTGCACCCCAGCGTGCTTCAGTGCACTCTCTGGGAACCATCAGACTATAGTTAGATCGTCATGTAAAGGTATACAAAGGCTAATAAAATCTTAAATTATGCTGTTAGCCCTACTAAATAATAATTAGTTACAGCCTATTCTTGAAACCTGAAACTGAAAGGATTGATCTGTACATGTAACAGATAGAATCGTTAACTGAGGAAAAGTAATGCAGTTGAGCAAATAGCTCTTAAAGTAGAAGAAACGTTTTCACGTTATAAGCATCTCTTTATATTTGTATTTGTGTTCATTCGTTTTGATTATCTTGGGTTAAGTCAAGAGGACAATGAAGAAAATGTCAGAACAGGTGTGGGAGCAAAGGGCTATCGGGTGTCCGAGGAGGAAAAAAAATAGGCTCGCTGAGCATCCAAGAAGCAGCAGAAGACAGTCTGGAGGCTGGATGACCACCAGGTAAAGAGACAGGATTATACTTAAAACTTGAAGCACAAGCATAGGCTATAAGACCTTCCTCCTCTTCCTGTCTTAATACTCCTCAGCATTTCACTGTGTTCTGTGGCCAATAAGATTAACACAGAAACATGGATTCTGCAGGGTTAAGGAGGTATGCACTTACTGTGGATAGAAGTGAATAAGGGCAATTATAGCCAAAACATTGACAACCCAAACTCTGATTTATGAGAAAAACTTAGCCCCTCTACTCACCTAAAATGATCATGGCAGGTAGGGATAATAAAGTAGGAAGAAATGGTCCTATCTTAGGTAAGAGTTTGTGAGTTTAAGATATAGATGCAGATACAGATAAGGAATATGATTTTTTTCTAAAATATATGACCATTTGGGGGCAACTTTTAGTTAAATTAACATAAGCAGCTTCTGTATCACCTGGGAGTTATTTAGATATGCAGAATCTTTCACCCCACCTGAGAAACTGTGTTTCAGCAAGACCCCCAGATTACAATTAGAGAAAAGTTATTTTTAAAATACCTTGCCTGGGTCTCACCTCCCCAGAGATTCTGATTTAGTTGGTTTTTAATTAAGTACGTATGATTCCAATATGTGGCAAAATTTGAGAACCACTGTTCTAGGAGATTATTATTGACAATAATTATAACAAAATGTGGCTAGCTCAGTGCTAAAGTGGGCATCCACAAAGTATTATAGAAATGCAAAAGAGGGAGACAGCTGGGCTTGGAGTTCAGTAGAGCTTCCAGAAAGAGGTGATGATGTTAAAAAAATCTCCTTAAAGGAAGAGTAGGTGTTAGCTCACTGCAGAGGGAGAATTACCTGTACTTGCCAATTAATTGTATGCAGAAGCCAAAGGAGAGAAAGCAGAAGGTTCAGAAAATTGTAAATAGAAATCAGGATATTGAAATTGTCACTCATGCCGGCACAGAAACCAGAAAAAGGTGTGTATTTCAAGGGCTAAAGGGAAGAGTATGTGGTTTTATACAAAATCCACTTAGATTATCTTTGGCTTATGTAAGATTAATAGAAAAATAAGAAGAAAGCATCATAATTTCACATTTTCAGAAAACACCGTGCCCCTCCTGCTGGCTTGACATAATATAGCAATTCTTTGATGATGATTAGTGTATAGTGTAAGTTCAATAAGAAAGAAGAACATAGGTAGATATTGATTAGATTTTGAAGACATGAACATTCATTAATAGAGAGATGAATGTATTTAAAATCTCAGAAGTATGCACAATTTTAATCAAAAGATTCACATATTATCATTAAACAGCCCACAGCAATGCTTTATTTCCTTGTCTCTTCCACTTTATCCTTCAAAATGTCTTCTCCTTCCACATAACGTGTACATAACATCCATCTCCTTTAGAAGCATTCGAGATGCTTCTATTTTTAGGAGCATACCAGGAGACCTGTTTTAATTGAATTTGATAAACTGTATATTTTCATAGATATTTTCTGATGCTAGCTTTTTGGAACTTGGTCATGGTTTTCTTTTGGGGAGCTTTCCCCAAAATTGATATGC